CAGCTTATCCATGCTAGTCGCTAGCCTCTCCAATGCTAATGCAGCTTATCCATGCTAATAACTAGCCTCTCCAATGCTAATGTCAGCTTATCCATATTAGTCGCTAGCCTTTCCAATGCTAATGCAGCTTATCCATGCTAGTCGCTAGCCTCTTCAATGCTAATGCCAGCTTATCCATGCTAGTCGCTAGCCTCTTCAACGCTAATGCCAGCTTATCCATGCTTACTATCCTATTCAAAGCAAGCAAAAGTTTATCCATGCTAGTCGCCAGCCTTTCCTAACACAAATGAATAGTCTCCTTCTCAGTTACCAGCACCAGCTGCTCAGTTAGCAGTGTCAGCCTATCATTAATCAGATCAATAACTGGTTAGGAATAGATATAGCCTCCTGCTACAAGGAGGTAGGAACCACTGGTTGTGCAATAGTCTTAATTTTGGCCCTCATATCATCCCATAGAATGGGACATAATGAGCGTTTGTGTTTGTTTGTTTGTTTGTGGGAGTTTGGCTTTATCAAACCTGTTTGTTTTTATTAAAACAAATTAAAGTGAATTAAAATACCTGGACGTGCATGTCCTTCAAATACAAAAAGTCAATGAAACATTGAAACTTGACATAATACATGATTTTAACCACATGACATATTTTCTTCTGAACTCGGCTCAGATAAAGTCTGTGTTGTTAGTTATTCTAACAACGCTCTGTTTACATGCAGACACTCCCCTTTGACATCACTTCCTGTTTCTTCTCATGCCAATATCTCAACAACTGTTCATTTAAGCGGCGTGAATTATTGTTCACAACATGTTATTAATGTTATCTTTCCAAAAACGCTTTCATATTTATTAYAAACATTTAATGTCWGGGGTACTTTAACTCCAGCAAACACCTCACAAATGTTGATACAGATACACCAGAACCGGGTCAAACCCATAAACCAGAAACACAGAAGCAGGGAGGATTAACKCCACGAGTTAAAAAGCATCGGGAGCAGAACGGAGATCAAAATAAACTGAACACAGATAAAAACATCCAGATGCTCAGAGTGAACTTCAAAACCACAATTATTGTCAAAATGTTTGATACTTTAAAATATTTTTACACGTTTCGGCTGATTTCAGTTCATAAATGCAGTTTGGTCATTTTAGGAAGGTTTGCAAACTTCTTGCAGATGTGTTGGAGCTGATTTCCAAACACACAAGTTTGTATTTCTAACAAACACACACATTTCCTGGCTTGCAGCTAAACATTTTGTGCAACAGTTTGACGTGTGAACACACGCCGAGCTGATCTTTCTCAATCAAAACAAGAAGCTTTAAAAGGATTACGAGCTGATCCTCGTCAAACATTCACACAAACAGCTGAGGGGGAAAACTCTCCTTACATTTAAATCTGTTTTTATTCCATTCATTCATTCATTCATTCATTCATTCATTCATTCATTCATTCATTCATTCATTCAATTCCAAACAACATACACAGAAAAGATCAGCTAGTTTCTTTTTTTTTTAAATTAACTCAAAAATAAGAAATAAGTTCAGCTGAACGAGAAACTCTGATTTAAATATTAAATATGTAAATTAAACAGGTGTTGAAGACAAATTTGTAAAAAGTTTTATTTACTTCCTGTGTGATTCTCTACCTGTCCAGAGGCGGAGCTGTTGTCTCCAGGTGGACGGAGACACTCGGTGAAGGACGCCATCGCTCTCTGCATCACGACTTCTGCTCTTTAAGGTGTTTATTTGAAAATGTTTCCCTTCCCATCTGTTAAATCCAGGAACTAAATGTAATAATTTAATGATAAAATTATAAATAATCTAATCAATCCCAGAAAATTAAAGATAAACTCTTAATATTCTGATAGAAATGACGTCTGCTCTGCTTCCTGCTACTTTTTATTTTAATTTAATTTACTGTCAGATCCTTTTTCTGTTTGCTTTTCAAAACCATCACATTAAAAACATAAAAAAAGTCTCTAAAATGATTAAATCCCAGCAGAATAAAGAGTTTTATAATAAAACAAACTGAAGTTTTGGTTCTGTAGTCTGAATATAATCCTGTTTACAACCCTTCCTACCTGCACCTGAACGCACCATCCATGTTAAAGACTACAACAGCAGCTAAATTATGATTTTTCTTCCTTGTGACGTTATAAAAATATAGATAGAAAGATAAAAATAAAAAGAAGTAGAGAGCAGAATGATTTAATCCATGAGTCCAGATGAAAGAAATAATCCAGAATCCCAGTTTGGTTGTGTGATCTCTGCAGCTGAGATCAGCTGAGTGTTTCTCCTCCCTCTGCTCCTCCTCCAACAGGGTCAGGAGGGATTAAACACAGACCAGGAGCATTATGGGAAATAATACAGAGATTAGAGACGATGACTGAAAGAGAGGAGGGAAAATAAGACCTACAGGTTTGAGGTTCTGTTCATCCATTCAT